ACTTACACCTTCAAGGCATAGTCCCAAGAAGACCTAGGTTACTGAAAAGAACAGGGAAGACCCAAAAATTCCTCATTTTCTAAAAATTACCAGATATTGTATAAAACTAATATCTAGTCCCTCCTCCAAGGGAGTGCATGTCAATGTATATGTTAGATAAGCATTTACCTTTAAATACAACCCGTCCAGGGCACCTAGGTGGCTCAGTCAGTTAAGTGTCTGACTCTTGATTTTGGCTCAGGTCATGATCTCACCATTTGTGAGATCAAGCCCCACATCAGGCTCTGTGCTGACAGTGTGTGGAGCCTGCTTGGGATTCTCTCTCTTCCTCTCTCTCTGCCCCTCCCTTGTTCACCTGCATGCTCTCTCTCAAAATTATTTTACTCCAAAGTTGTTTTTACCTGAATTAGTTGCCAATGTTTACAAAGTCTGAGTGTACACACACATACACACACATGGGTGTATACACACACACACCCAGCTACTCTTCTGGAGAGACTGGATGATCTGGCCAACCTAGGGCCACATTCCTGCCAGGGGCAGTGGCAACAGGAGAGGGTGCAGTAACCACTTTCAGACAGAAGATGTTTTCTCTACTTCTCCAGAACCCTCAGCAGCATCCTATTCTCCCAGAACTAACTAAAAAAATATATATTTTCTTTAGGAAAAAAAAAATTTCTACTTCAATGCATGTCTGTGTATTAGATATACTATTACCTACTTTTAATCAAGGGGAAAAAAAGGAAAAAAGCACACAAATTAGGGAACAAGACAGGGGTAACAGCCCCAGATACAGAGGAAAAAACTGGATAAAACAGATGATTTTCTATCAATGTATAATCACCAAAACTAAACCCAGAAAGAAATAGCAAATCTAAAAAAGCACCAGGTTTAGTTTTACAGGGGAATTCCACCAAAATTTAAAGAAACAAATCATTTCAAAAGTATTTAAACTGGCTGAAGCAGAGAAAGATTTTTTTTTAATGCTTATTTATGAGAGAGTGAGAACGGGGGAGGGGCAGAGAGAGACAGAGACAGAGAAAGGGAGACACAGAATTCAAAGCAGGCTCCAGGCTCTGAGCTGTCAGCACAGAGCCCAACACAGGGTTTGAACTCACAGATCACAAAATCAAGACCTGAGCCAAAGTCGGACGCTTAACTGACTGAGCCACCCAGGTGCCCTAAGAAAGAGAAAGGTTTTAATAAAGCTATATAAAGCACTAAAACAACTTGATAAAGATTGCATTAAAAAATAAATTACAGGGACACCTGGGTGGTTCAGTTGGTTGGGTTTCCGACTCTTGATTTTGGCTCAGGTCATGATCCCAAGGTCATGGGATCAAGCCCCATGTGGGGCTCTGAGCTGAACATTGAGGCTGCTTAAGATACACTCTTTCCCTCTCTCTCTCTCTCTCTCTCTCTCTCTCTCTCTCCCTCTGTGCCTCTCCCTGGCTCATATGCTCTCTCTCTCCCTCTCTAAAATAAAATATTACAGACTAGTCTCTCAAATGATGAATGATGATTTAAAATTACTAAGTAAAACATTAAGAGGCCCTAGCTACACATTAACAGAATTTTCACTGATGATTCAATAATATAATGATTCAATAATACAAAATCTGTTACTCTAATTCATATTAACAGGTCAAGAGAGAATATCTACATAATTTCACAGATGCTAAAATGGCATTTGATAAAATTCAACAACCATTTTTGATTAAAAAACCAAACAGCAGCAACACACGCTTAGTAAATAACTAGTGTGGCAAAAACACAAAGCAGTCTCAGTAAAGTAAGGAACAAGACAAGGATACCCAGGATCAGTCCTAGTGTTTAATCTTGTTCTGGAAATACAATGCAATCAAAGAAAGAGATGTAAGGAACATAAAAAGTACAAACCAAGGGACAAAATTCTTATTTGTAACTGATATGATATTATACCTGGAAAATCCAAGAGAACTGCAAAATCTACTAGAAACAATATGATTACATAAGTTGCTGCTTACAAAATTAATAAGTACAATAATAAAAATATGTAATATGTAAGAAAGGATCAATAACAAAAATTTCAATATTCTCAATAACAAAAAAGATCAAGTAACTAGGAATAAACATAATAAATGTACAGGATTTTAATTTTTTAATGTTTATTTATTTTTGAGAGAGAGAGAGAGAGAGAGAGCAAGTAGGGGAGGGGCAGAAAGAGAGGGAGACACAGAATTTGAAGCAGGCTCCAGGCTCTGAGCTGTCAGGACAGAGCCTGACACGGGGCTAGAACTCGCATACCATGAGATCATGACCTGAGCTGAAGTTGGATGCTTAACTGACTGAGCCACCCAGGTGCCCCAAAATGTACAGGATTTTGAAACAAACCAAATTTAAAAAGCTGTTTCTGAAGTAACTAGGGATATGCATATATAGACTGGGTATCAGATTAAATTAGTAACAGGCAATAAATTGTTGATTTTGATAAATATAGCATTTTGGGTATGCATATTTCAAAAAGTCCTTATTTGTTCAAGCTATATTGTAAGTATTTATGGATGAAATCATTTTTAAAAATATTCTAGTTCCCCACCCCACCCCCCCAAAAAATGGAGGGAAAAGAGACAATTCAAGATTGGCAAAACATGGCAAACTGTTTAAGAAGTCATGGATACATGGAGGTTCTTTGTATTGTCTTCCCTACTTCTGTATATTTGAAAATGTGCATAAAAAACCCCAACAAAATGCAGATAATGAAAATAACTAGTGTGGCAAAATATGCAGATATTGTATACCCAAAAGTATACAATAGGCTTATGAAAACACACAAAAATTGCTACCTAACAATTAAGAAATACTAATTAAAGCTACAAATCAGATGTCATTTTCATCAGCCAAATAGAAAAAGATCAAAATATCTGGTAACATTCATTATTAAGGGGAAGGGCAGACAACTGACACTGCTGGAGGAAGTACTCATCAATACACTGGAGGGCACTTTGGCCTCACCTTTCAAAGTTATAGACACACACTCCTTGGCCCAGCAATTCCACTTCTTAGGAATTTACAGATTCTAATTCAACAAGTATTTTCAGCCACCTACTATGGCCATGCACTGGAGACAGAAAGGTGGAGGAAACAATGCCCAATGCCCCTGCTCTCATAAGGCTTCTATTCTTATATGGGAGGAGACAACCAATAAAGCAACTCAAGTACACAGGCAATTACAAGGTCAAGACAGGGATAAGTGTGATGAAAAAAGTAAACAAAATAAGGGTGTTGGGAGTGGCATGAAGTCTGTTTTGGATGGGCTGGTCTGGGAGGGCCTCTCTGAGGACATGGCAGTTGAGTAGACTTTGGTGAAAGAGAAAACAAAGCAGAATGTCCAGGAGAGCATTCCAAGCAAATACAAAAATAAAAATAATCATATCCTTTGAATACAGTACATCTTTCAAGGAAGGTGCGAGGCCAGCATTATTTCCCCAAACATTATTGGGCATAACAATTTGATTTTTTCAAAGGAAGAATTCACCTACTTATCTAGGCATTATGCTAAACCTGTTAACAAAAGTACATTAAAACTATTCAGGAGTTTTTAATGCAGATAAACCTTTCCACAAAAAATAAATTAGTTTCACAAAAGATATTGACCAGTTACTAGATAATTTTACACAAAAACAAAAATACTGCCAGTCCCTGCCCTTCTGGCAAAAATTTGTACTACTAACTTAGAGGAGACTATAGTTTAATTTCATGACCTTTTAAGCAATAAAGTTGAAATGCCGAGGTCTCCTTTTAGATTAAATATTCCTATTCATCCAAATATTTATATTTTTATTTATCCAAATATTCATATTTTCAATTTCAGGATTTTTAAGCAACAAAATTGATTATTTTAAGGACTATTTGGATAAATATTTGACACTGAAGTGGCCAATGCCATTTAAGGGCATTCCAGCTGACCCCCAAAAAAATTACTCTACAACACCTTAAACATTACATACTAACTTTTTCGAAACCATGAAACACCCAGCTGTCAAAACTGCCATCAATGATACGTTCTATGAACAGCCAGATAATTAAGAAGCCAGCATATGGGGAGAGACTTGTCCCTGTGAAATACACTATCTTAATTTTGAAATCAGCTTTACCTGGATGCATTCATCTCCTACTCAGAGGGAGAATGCAAATAACCAAAAGACTTCCGGACTCTACGGAGATTCCCAAGGAGACAACTCGCGTAGACAAATTTCAAGCACCACGAGCCATCTGCACAACCCAAGACAGGTTTCCTTCCAACAGCTGAGGATGCGGTGTATCCTTCCCGGCCCTCAGACACAGCAGACCGTTTAACCTTCCCCCAAAGGTCGTCCAGCAGCTGAGTAGAGAATGCCACTTCTGACAACTAGTTACCCGAGAAAATAACAAAGTAAGAAACCGGGGAACGGTAGTTTCTACATACACCAGTCCAGCAAGAGGGGCGCTCGGTTTTGAGTTCACTGCAGGAAATCCGTGGGGAAGGATCCCACCGCTCTCTGGGTCTGGAGCCTTCCCTTCAGCGTCCCACCTCGTACGTGCCGAGCGTCCAGGGGCCTCACCAGGGACGCTTCCGAACCCTCCGCTACTCTTCCACAAGGGGTCGTGGCTGCCCGCAGCCCCCAGTCCCTGGGAGAGACGCTGCTCCAGCCCGTAGCTGACGGTGTCCCACTAGCTCACCTGGGAAGGGTACGGACGCGGGACTGAGCTCCGCGCAGCGCGAGAAGAGGACACCAGGGGGGTAAAGAGGGTAGTCGGGGGCGCTCCCGCAGGCAGGTACCTGAGGAAAGGATGCCCGAGGGCCGCACTTGCGGGCGGCTAGGCGAGGGAAAGGGATAGAGGAGGATCGGAAGAGGACACCGGAGGGTGGGGGGTAGGTGTGGAGCGCTCCCACAGACAAGAAACTTATGGAGGGGCGGGGGCATTAGGGGCTACGTGCCGGCCAGGTACCGGGACTCCGCCCCTGTGCTGCGCCTCACCTGCCCAGGGCCCGCTTCATGCCCGCGTCTGCGGCGCAGCGCGGCTCCGCCGGCGCCTTGCCCGCCAGGCGCAGGTTCTGCTTCAGGCGGCAGTCGGCGTCCAGCGCCGCGGCGGCCGAGCCAGAAGAGGACGAGCCCGAGGCGGCGCAGCGCTCATGCTCCAAGGCGACGGGCTCGGTCCGTTTCCTCATCCCGCGGCCGACACGGCCGGCCGCCGACGGCGTCCACTGGCCTGCGTCTCAGTCGCCGCCGCTCACAGGAGCCGCTGCAGCAGGGAGCCCACAGCCCCTAGCATCCCAGCCCCAGGCCGCGGCGCCCGTCTGTACGGCCCGGCGCCTGGGACCAGGTCGGCGGCGCCAGCCAATCAACGCCGGGCTCCTGCCGACCCCGCCCCCCACTCCGCCCCGTCCCTAGTTCCTCGGGTAGTGGGCCCAGTGTTCCCGGCGCCGACCTGCAGCCATCTTGGAGAAGGGCAGGCGAAGCCGTGCGGGGCGTCATGGTCCCGGCAGGGCCAAGCGGTCGATTTTGCTGTGGTGGGGTCTGGGCTCGGTCCCGGAGAGTGGGAGGGCCAGTTTTGCCTAGTGCTCGGCGCCGTGTGCAAACGCACCGGGTCCTGCCCCAGATCGATGACCCGAACGTGAGACAACGCGGGACTGAAACGGAGCACCCAGTGATCCAGAGCCGCAGCGGAAAGCTGGCTCCTTCCCCTCCCGCCCCAGGCTTTGTGATTTTCCTCTAATGCTGGAAACCCAATCTGAATGAACCCATCAGAAATGTTCTTATAACGGTTTATAAGAACCAAAAGCAAAAGGTAACAAATCACCATTCTCATGATTTATAACTGTTTTCCCACAAGACTTTTAAAAATATACTTTCAGGTACTTTTTTTTTTAACACAAGTGTATAGATAATTTAACTGTTAAGTTTTGGGCTGAACATAGGAAAACTGAGCTACTTAAACAACTTACTTCTTAAAAACCTGTATTTGATTTTAGATTTTTGTAAAGCAGTTAGAAATAGTGGATGGAGAGGCACCTGGGTTGCTCAGTCGGTGGAGCATAAGACTCTCCATCTTGGGGTTGTTGGTTCAAGCCCCAAATTGGGTGTAGAGATTACTTAAAAATAAAAACTTTAAAACAAAAAAAGTAGCTGATGGAAGAAATAAGTTTCAAAGATAAATTTACACTTCTGGAACCCAAGTTAAGAACTAATTCAACTCATCTTACAAAGAAAAGAGTAGTTTCACAAATTTGGTTTTACAGTTTTGGCATTCTTTAATATGGCATTATTTCTTACAAACGATCTACCACCTAGAGATTTGCTTACTTTCTTTTTCTTTTTTTTTTAATGTTTATTTTTGAGACAGAGAAAGACAGCATGAGCAGGGAGAGGCAGAGAGAGAGAGGGAGACACAGAATCTGAAGCATGGTCCAGGCTCTGAGCTGTCAGCACAGAGCCCAATGCGGGCTCCAACCCATGAACCATGAGATCATGAACTGAGCCCAGGTTGGTTGGCTAACCAACTGAGCCACCCAGGCGCCCTGAGATTTGCTTATTTATTACAAAATGAACTTGTGTAATTTCAACATTTGTGTCAGTAGAAAACTATTGGCAACTGATCATTTAAGATCAATTAGAAATGCCTTTAGAAATTCAGTAGCTCTTGGGGTGGCTGGGTGGCTCAGCTGATTGAGCATCTGACTTCAGCTCAGGCCATGATCCCATGAGCTCACAGTTACTGAGTTTGAACCCCACTTCAGGCCCACTAGTATCAGCACAGAGCTTGCTTTCGATCCTCTGTCATTCTCTCTCTTCCTGCCCCTCCCCCACATGTGCTCTCTTGCTTAGAAATAAAAAAAAAGACATTTAAAAAAAGGAATTGAGTAGCTTCTTATATTAGCTTTGTAATGGTACTTCTAAATTACAATAGAATTTCATTGACTGTATTGCAAAATATATCACAACCAGCATTCATATTTGTGTGGGTATCTCCAAATACTCTCCTAGAACTTAAATGATGAATTCTTTGAAGTGTTAAACTAGCACATACCGGAGACTGGGAATCTAGAAACTGAAGTTAAAAAAAAAATTGACCCCATCACTCACAAAATCCTTTTTAATAGAAAAACAAAAAAGCAAGGAAGGTAGGGCTGTTGAGAAGAGAGAAATGTGAGGGGTATTGAGTCTTGCTGGCATTTAGGACTTGCTCATATAGTCCTCAACTCTTGGTCCTCTAGGGGCCAAAGGCAGGCTTCCCCCAAATGGGCCACTTTGGCTTGAAGATTATTTTGAACTAAAGGCAATCAAGACCTATGGACTTAAATGTTTTGGCCCTCCCTTAACTAAATAGAAGAATCTAAATTGGGAGTCTTTCCCAGAATAATGGTTATTACCAGAGATAAACTTTATCTGCATGACCCATCTATATGGCAAAGCAGACATCTAAATTACCAAACATCTGCTCTTCTTATTGCCCTGTGACTTGTATTCGTTCCGTTCTAACTCCCAGACCCCTGGCTGCTTCTCTTTAGTTCAGGATAATAAATATACCTTATTTTGTGTGTCTTTCAAGTTTCTGTGTCAATGTGGATTTCCTGTATATAGGAAACTATTCTGTTAATCTGTCTCATATCAATTTGATTCTTAGTAGAGCTAGAAGCACCTAGAAGGGGACAGGAAATTCTTGCTCCCCAATATACCACATTGGCTTTCTGAGTAGTATCTAAAAGTCTTTAAAGACTACACTGGTGACACCCACATTTGTATCTCTAGTCCACACCTCTTCCTTAAACCCCAGGCCCCTCTAATGGTCTGCTTGTCCACTCTGATATACTATTGGCATCTAAAGTTATTATGTTCAAAGCTGAGTTCCCAACTCTTTGTGTAACCTTCCTTACCTCAGGAATGGCAACCTTATACTTGCATTTCCTTAGGCCAAAACTCTGAGATCACCCTAGAATCCTCCCTTCTTATGCCATGGTGTCTATCACAAAGCCTTATCAGCTCTCCTTTCAAAATCCATCCAGGATCCAGGCCACCTGGGCAGCTCAGTTAGCTACTTTTTTTTTTTTTTAAGTTTATTTGTTTATTTTGAGAGAGACAGAAACAGCACAAGTGGAGGAGGAGCAGAGAGAGAGAGGGAGATAGAAAATCCCAAGCAGGCTCTGCGTTGTCAGTTTGGAGCCCGATGTGGGGCTTGAACTCATGAAACGGTGAGATCATGACCTGAGCTGAAACCAAGAGCCAGACTGAGCCACCCAGGCACCCCAAGTGGTCAGTCAGCCACCTTTGATGTCAGCTCAGGTCATGATAGCACAGTTTGTGAGATCAAGCCCCAAGTCAGGCTCTGTGCTGACAGCATGTGGAGCCTGCTTGGGATTCTCTCCCTCTATCTCTGCCCCTCCCCTACTCACTCTTTCTTTCTCTCTCTCTCAAAATAAATAAATAAACTTAAAAAAGTAAAGTCTATCCAGGATCCAACCACTTCTCACCATAAGTGGTCCTCTGCCTCCACCTTTACCCACCTGTCTACTTAACTCAGCTGTCAGAAAGGTCTTTTTAAAGACCTAGGTCACTTGTTTGCTCAAAATACCTATATGGTTCCCCATCTCAGTGAAAATAAAACAGAAAGCTTATGAAAGGGCCTTTGGGGTCCTACCTGACATGGCCTCCAGCCCTCACTCTGATCTCAATCACCAGTGTCTCCCTCCCTTACTTTACTCCAGTGTCACTGACTCCTTGCTGATGCACAGGCCCCAAGAAAGGGTGTGGGTGGCATGTGTGTGAGCCACCCACCCTCCTCGTTGTGGCCTTTGCACTTGCATTTCTTGCTGCCCATAATTCTCTGCCCATCCTATGGCCCCATCTCCACACAGCTTATTCCCTCTCTGCTGCAGGTCTGTGCCGCCTTTGAACACTATCTCAGAACCTTCAGGCCCTCATCATCACTCTGTTTACCTTCCCTGGCTTATTCTTCTTTGCACTTCTCACAAATATATTTATTATCCGTATAACTGTATCTGTGAATTGCTATTTTCCCATACTGGAACATAGACTGTGAGCGCAAGGACTGTATTCACTGTTTTATGTCCAATGTCTAGAACAATACCCAGTATGTAGTAGGTACTTCATAAACATTTGCTGAAGGAGTAATGAATTACTGCAACCCCTCAGAAGTGTATACTATTGTCCCTACTGTACAGGTAAGGAAGTAAGGATCTGAAATAAAAGGGTTTATGTCAGGGGCACCTGGGTGGTGGCTCAGTTGGTTGGGCATCCTACTCTTGGTTTCAGCTCAGGTCATGATCTCAGAGTTTGTGAGTTTGAGCCCCACATCAGGTTCCACACCAATGTGTGGTGCCTGTTTAGGATTCTCTCTCTTTTCCTCTCTCTCTGCCCCTCCCTTGCTCATGCTCACTCTCTCTCTCTCCCAAAATAAATCAACTGAAAAAAAAAATGCTATTTAATAAACACCATTTGTTTAAAAAAAAAAAAAAGGTTTAGGGGTGCCTGGGTGGCTCAGTCAGTTGAGCAAGCAACTTCAGCTCAGGTCATGATCTCACAGTCTGTGGGTTCGAGCCCCACATTGGGCTCTGTGCTGCTTCAGATTCTGTGTCCCCCTCTCTCTCTGCCCCTCCCCTGCTCATGCTCTCTCTCTGTTTCAAAAATAAAAATAAATAAAAATAAAACATATTTAAAAAAAAGGTTTGTGACAAAGTAAGGTTGTCGATGCTGGCGACTTTTGGAATAGAATCCTGTAGCACAATCCACTATAGTTCTGTGTATTTAATTAAAAAAAAAATTAGCTAAATTATTCCTTACTGTAGAGCTGAAAAGGAAATGTCACTCAAAGATTCAAAGACTGTAGGCCATTCCCATGCTCATTGTTCAGATCACATATCTACTGTATCTATATTTGCAAAAGAGGAACAAAGTTTCTAGGGTTAACTAGCATGAATCCAAGCAATATTGCCTTTTTAAAAAGTAGCCAAACAAAACAAATTGTTTCTATAGCAGTAATTTCCATTTTTGATTCTATAGTTACGAAAATGTCCATAATCATGTAGGTAAGATTATGGCTGTCTGAATTCATGTTAATCTAGTATTTTCCCTTTTTGTAGATTTCATGAATACAGCTATTTTACAAATGTTTTTAGAGGGCTGCTTTAAAATCAAAAGTGGTACTGTAGAGTCAAAAGCTTAAATACAAACTCTGTCACATTAGACGTTGTGTGACCTTGAGCAAGTTATCTATCTTGGGTCTCCTGGCAGGCTCAGTGGGTAGAGCATGTGACTCTTGATCTCGGGGTCATAAACTCAAGCCCCACCTTGGGTGTGGAGATTACTTTTAAAAAAAAAAAAAAAAAAAAAGGTTATCTAACTTGTTTTCTAATCAGTACCAAGAGTCTTAAAAGCCACCTCAGGTTAATCGTGAGAATTAAATGAAATATGTCACAGCCCACACCACACAGGAGATACCCAATAAAACTTGCTTTTCCTCTTCTATCGAACAAAAAAAGCACACTGCAAAACTAAAATGCTGCGTCAGAACATTAATGCACAAGTTTCTGAGTTTTTTCTCAACCTCAAAGTGCAACCCCTTTTGAACCTAAACAAAAATGAATCAAATGGAAAAAGTAAGAACAAAGATGTGCACATCTCGCGAGTGGCGCTTGGGAACTCGAAAGTCTCTGCTCAGCCTACAGGCTGGAACCCAGGGCCACTACGCTCCCCCAGCTGCGGGGGTTTCCCTAGAGAAGGAGGCACCGCTTCCCCATCTGTTGTGCGGCTGCGCAGTAGAGGCAAATGTCCCTTCACAGCCGCCATAAGCCGCGAGGCCCAGGAGCGTGTTATTATTGGCTGGGTGTGTTTGGCGCCAAAGCGGAGGCGGAGGCGAGTATCTGCGGCTGTGGGACTGCGAACCATAGTACCTTAGAGAGGGGGCCGTGAACCCAGCGACTGTTTGGCGTGAGAGCGGTCGGTTTAGGAAGCTGCAGGGCCGGGGCGCGTCCGACATGTTCTGCGAAAAGGCCATGGAGCTGGTCCGCGAGCTGCACCGCGCGCCAGAAGGGCAGCTGCCAGCCTTCAATGTAAGGGAGGACGAAGTTTCACCGGGCTGGTCGTGCTGAAGGGGCGGGGTCTCGGAAGCGCTGGGGGCGGCCTTGGGGCGGGCCTGGGGCTCGTGGGAGGACTGTAAGAGGATCTGGCTCCCAGAGATTCTAACCTGCATATCCCCTGAGGGTGTGCTTTCTCAGCTCGAGGCGGGAACAAAAATTTTGGAACACGGAAAGACAAAATATAGCAGGAAAAAGAGTGCATTCATGTTTATGTCCCCCAGCGATTTGGTGAATTTCCTCATGAGTGTATGTCCTTCAGTGTTTTTTCATGTATGGCTTTATTTCTTGTTCCTGTGTTTGATCAAGCATTTCTTGGTTTCCTGATAACAATCTAGCATTTGTTGAGCACTCTGGCAGAAGCTAGTCCTGTAGAGCCAGACTGGGATTCTGACTCCATCATGTGAGTGTGGGGCAGTTACTCATGCCATCTGTGCTGCCAGTTTCCTCTACAAAAACGGGAAAGTTGGTAATAATAGTAGTCAACTCTTCCCGTAGTGAGGGCTCTGCAAGTTGGTATATGTCAAGTTCTCTGAACAATGCCTGACACACAGCAGTGAAGTCAGTGTTTGCTATTTATTTTCTTTCTACCGCTGCTACTATAACAATCATTCTTATTTTTGTTAGTACCGACAACAGGGTGATAAGCACGTGGCCTACGTTAATCTTGTTCTCATAAGAACTCTGAGATTTAAACCATTTTTTCCAGCCATATACACAGACGCTTAGGGGCATTTTTTTGCCCATAGCTAATAAGAAGTAAAGCTAGGATTTAAACCCTGACAGTCTGGCTCAAGACCTGCACTCTAAATTTTATACTTGACTGCTTCCCTTCTCATAGAGCAGCCGCTATTTGGAGCCAGGGCATGTTCTGCTGGGAGAGGGGCACAGAAAGGAGTAACAGAATGCAGTGTGATGACACCAGAGAGGAGCATAAGGAGCAATCAATGTTGGTGTGGTCTGGGGTAGAGGAGCAGGCATTTGAGCCACACATGGAAGGATGAGGGGACCACTCTGAGAAGGAAGATAGGCATGGCAGCCAAAGGATACAGCAGTGCAGTGACACATGGTCACATGGGTAGGGGTGACTGACAGGGTGTGTGCAGAGGCTAGGAAGGTGGGTTCTAGGCCTAAGAGAGTTCAGTGGTCATGCACAAGGCATTTGGAAACTGGTAAAGGATTTTAGACAGGAGAGTTATAGGGCAGTTTTTTATGTTTTGAGGATAATGATGGCAGCACTATGGGGGAAATGAGTTGGAGACAAGAAAGAACAGAGTCAATGAGATGGTTATGGGTGGTTATAATAGACCAGGTGAGAGCTGTGTATGATCCAGACTGTGTTTGGTTGCTGGGCCTGGAAATCAGTGTCTGAGTTTCAGAGACAAGGCAAACAGGACTTGTAACTGTTAGGATGGGGGTGGGTAATGAATGAGAGCGAGTCTCAGGGAAATTCTCTCTCAGGGACTGTATCAGATTTCAGGAGGAAGAGTGTTTGGGGAAAGGCGAGTTTTGTTTTGAACATTAAAGAGCACGTGGTTGGACAGTTTGGTCATTTTGCAGATGAGACTGAGCCAAGAGAAATTATAGATCAAGTTAAGGGATTTGTCTGAACTTGGAGCATATTGAATGCAGAGCCTCACCTTGAACACAGATTTCCTAGATTTCAGTTTGTTATTCTTTCAGGACTGTTTAAACTCATTTAAAAAGTTAGGAGACAATGGTGGGAGGTTCAGCAGAGATGCTGGAATGCCGAGGGGTTCAGACTCTTAAATATGACTGCAGTTGGACAACCAGGCATGTTGAAGGTCATCTACCATAAGAGGAAACAAACCCAAAGAGGCAGAGACTTGTCCAACAGGAGCTAGCCAACCAAACCCTTAGTCCAGCTCTTTGTTTCACTCAAATTTTAAGTTAAGTGTTGCTTGACCACTTTTGGAGGGCCCAGGGGTGGAACTTAGAAGTTGTAAGATCCTTCCTTTTTCTTATTTTTTTTATTTATTTTTGAGAGAGAGAGAGAAAGAAAAGAAAGAAAGAAAGAAAGAAAGAAAGAAAAGAAAGAAAGAAAGATAATATGAGCAGGGGAGGGGCAGTGAGAGAGGGAGACAGAGGCTCCAAAGCAGGCTCTGTGCTGACAGCAGAGAACCTGATTTGGGGCTCAAACTCACGAACTGTGAGATCATGACCTGAGCTGAAGTTGGATGCTTAACCGACTGAGCCACCCAGGCATCCCAGATCCCTCCTTTTTCTAGGTCTTAGTTTGGCAGAGCACCTTTTGCAGTTTTTGTTCCATGTGCACCTTCCACTGACAAACTCACCTGCTAGCCAGGTGACTCAGCAGCCTGGAAGCTGGTCAGTCTTTGATACAGCCAAGCAGGGACAGTCCAATCCACCTGAGTGATTTGCAGGCCATAGACCCATGACCCCACTCGACCCTTCAAGAATCATTCCTTCCAGGAAGATGATAGTCACTCAGTTTAGAGCAAGGACTCTTCCTTGTTCATTCTCTCTCAGTGTTAGGTACTGTGTTCAGCAAATTGAAATGATTGTCCACTTTCTATATGCAGAACGGGTAATAATTTAAGTGAGTTTTTAGGCAAATTATCTTGGACTTCCAGCCTGAGGTGGGAACACAAAATAGTGCAGTTTTCACTATAAGATTAAAAAATCTAAATCTGAAAGCATGTGTGTATTTTCACAAAATTATTTCACACTTGTCTTCTGTATACCTGCAGATCTATTGATTATACAGGAGTTTTCAGGTATTCCTGAAAATATTATTTGCTGATAAAAGGAATATTCTGTAAATACTTCTATATTATTTATATTAAATATTTTTATAAATAAAAAGTTATTTAGGGGCGCCTGGGTGGCTCAGTCGGTTAAGCATCCAACTTCAGCTCAGGTCACGATCTCACAGTTTGTGGGTTCGAGCCCCACTTCGGGCTCTGTGCTGACA